GATGATCCTGGTGATGGGAGTATGGAGTGGGGAGGGAGACAAGTGTTGAGGCAAGGAGATAACAAAAAAGAGACTAAAATATATATAAATATATGTGTGTGTGTATACACACACACACACACACATCCAAGGCAGATGCCTTGAGAGGGGGAACTGAGCAACTGAATAAGTATGCAATGAGTGAGCGTAAAGAATAAAAATGAGGGGCCCTGGCTGTGTAGCTCAGTTGGTTAGAGCATCATCCTGATACACCAAGGTTGTAGGTTCAATCTCCAGTCAGGGCTCATATAAGAATCAACCAGTGAATGCATAAATAAGTGAAACAACAAATTAATGTTTTTCTCTCTCTCTCCATCTCTCTAAAATTAATAAATAAAAATTTAAAATATACATATATTTTTAAAAAGAATAAAAATGAGGGAACTAGGGTTGAAAATCCAGCAAGTGATTTGTAACAGGAAAGAGAAAGCCAACCTGAGCAACTGTAATGATTCAATGGAGTTTGCAAGAAAATACAGGCTGCCAGAAAAGAACAAGAACATCAGACAGGCCAAAACCCACCAAAGGTAAAAAAAAAAAAAGTATGCATTCAGAAAATTCAGCGCCTCCTGCTCAAGAACTCTTGGGCCTGGTGAGGTAGAACCAAAACATGACAAGGAAAAGCTTCCAGGGAAAGAAGGGAGTGGGACTCAGGACACTGGTGTCCCCTTAGGGGGAGAAAAGGGGCATCTCTTGGGAGAAAGTGTCCAATTATCGCTGTTCTGGAAAAAAGCAGCTCCAACAGACTGCCTTGGGAATTCCCAGTAGAAGAGATGCCATTGGAAAACGGCTGAGTTGGGATTTTTCCCTAGAACATGAGAAGGGAGACAGGAAAAAACGGACAACTTCCATTTTTAACAGGTATTGCTTGAAAAATCTCTGCCAGTTCCTTTGTATGCCTCTTTCCTGAGCTTACCCAGGGTCTTTTTATTTTCTTTCATGTAAGCTCAGTTTTTCTGAAAAGAAGTGTAATACAGGGGTTTTTTTGGTTTTTTTTAAAGACAAAGTATTTTTCTGCTTTAACTTTTGTTTTCCCTAGGCTAGACGCACAATAGACAAACTTGAAATCTATTTTCTTAATCTCAAACATTTACTGTCCAAAAAAAAACCACTTAAGGTGGGAGGTATACAAAGTGAAAAAGGGAAGCAAAATGCATATTGCTTCTAGAGCTGGGAACAAGGAGATGCCCATCTGGTTTCTGGATGACCCAAGACATTAGAGACAGGGTCTTCTTCAAGACATAAGATTTGAATCAGACACTAGGATACAATTAAGTGAACTTTGCAAGCTGGTTTGCGTGACTGGGAGGTGTCTCGAGCCTGGTAGTCACATGACCCTGGAGTCACATGCCCCTTAGTCCCTCTAGGGCAGGGACTAAGTGGTCCACTTTCTCTGCAGCACTGATAGCTCAGCACAAACCACACCCAGCAGGTGCAAGCACTTTACCTCAGTCCAGACACTGCTATGCACTGTGGTGTCACTGGCTCGTGGAAGGAGCAGGGAAAAAAAAAAGGTGCCAAATCCTAACTAAACAGGGTGCTGGACAGGATAAGAGAGGTCTTCCAGGAAAGGTAATATCTGAGCTGAGTTTTGACGCTGATCATCAGGTAAAGGGAGAGAACAACATTCCAGCAGAGGAAGACAAGGAGACTGGAGAGAGTTCAAGGGACCAAGAGTTGTTCAGCACAGCTCAATGAAGCACCTAAAAAGAGGTGGGGGAAGGTTAAGAGTGAAGGTCAGAGTCCAGTGATGAAGTGTCCTAGATACCAAGCTAAGGACTGGCAGACCTGATTATGAAAATAGTGGGAGCCGCCCGGCCAGGCGTGGCTCAGCAATTGAGCATGGGCCCAGGATCCAGGAGATCACAGTTTGATTCCCAGTCAGGGCACATGCCCAGGTTGTGGGTTTGATCCCCAGTCAGGGGCGTGCAGGAGGCAGCCAATCAACAACTCTCTCATCATTGATATTTCTAGCTCTCTCTCTCCCTCTCCCTTCCTCTCTCTGAAATCAATAAAGATATATTTAAAAATTAAAAAAAGAAAATAGTGGGAGCCACTGAAGGATTTTAAATTGTGGGGTGGGAGTGAGGGGGTGACTATGAACAGATTACTATTTTGGAAAGACAGAGAGGCAGGAAGAAACATCTGGATTTAACTAAAGAATAAAGAAAAGAACTACAATGAAGATGTGGGAAAAGGTCAGGAAAAACACTGTTAACACATCTGCACTCTCTTCTCTCGTAGACAAATTCCCTTTATGGAGTTGCCAAATTATCCTCTAAAAATGGAGAACTCGGAGATGGCTGAAAGCAGTCAGTCCTCTGAATATAGAAATGAGTATCATGAGAAATTAGGGACTGCATTATTAATTTTAATTCAAGACACTTTTAAAATGTATGTTTGACACATGTTGATATATTGTAGTTTTATGAGTACAAAAAAAGATTAATAACTCTAAAACTTATCTGCTGGTAACAGCAGACCAGGATGACTTTTAAAGACATCACAGACAAAAAGATCATCTGTTACATTCACTTTGGAACAGACCATATCCACTTTCCCCCCTAGCATATCTGAAATACAATCTGTAAGCCTAATTTCTTGATGGTCATGTTATTTCATAGCAAAAGACTGAAGCCACAATAAAAGATTTCTGAGCTGATAGAGAAACCCCATAGAGGTTCTTTAACTTCACATCTAGTCTATTCAACACTAACAATCCCAACCACCAAGCAGGAATTTCCTAGGCTTATTTGCTGGCACAAGCACACATTAAAAAATATACTGACATTTTATATTCAGTAGGAAAAAAATGATCAGAATAGAAACACCTTGAATATCAAGCAAATTTAATAGAGCTTTCTTAATTGTGGCCCCCCACAACCACAAATTCACCTTTACTTTTTTACAGCTGTGCATATATATATATATATATATATATATATATCCTCCCCCAGACATGCTTAGAGAGAGGAAGGAGGGGAGAAGAAAGAAAGAGAAACATCAGTACTTGCCCCAGTACAACCTAGTATGTGCCCTGACCCGGAATCAAACTGGCAACCTTTTGGTACACAGAATGACGCTCAACCAACTGAGCCACTCTGGCCAGGCAAAAATAATCTATGCTTTAATCTCAACAGTGCAAGTCCCAGGAACTTTTTCCTAAACTCTTAACAACAACAAAACAATAGATATAGGCTCTCTTTCTTTCTTTCTTTAAAATTTAAAAAAATTTTTTCAATTACAGTTTACATTCAATATTATTTTGTATTAGTTTCTGGTGTACAGCATAGTGGTTAGATCTTTATTTCTAAAAATATCTTATTCTGTTAAGATAATCAACCTTTTATTTGCCACTTACAATCACCACATAATCACCACATACTACCATTTACAATCACCATGATTTCACAAAAGATACTTAATTTTAACACCAGAAAAATGATATATTTCTTTTAGAAAGAGCAGTCCTTTAGTTGAACACATTTATTTTAAAACCCATATTTTTCTTGTTTTCTCAATACACTAAGGCCCATTCAACATTCCATTTTAGGGGCCTGACCAAGAGTCTCCAAAATTTGTTCTCACCAACTTATGATGTCCCCTTGCCCCATCTTTGAGGAGGGACCACAAACAACGTCATGGAACTGGTGAGAAGACCCAGTTCTCCCCCTATCTAGAGGATTCTCCCTAGCTGAAGAGGACTCTGTAAGCAAGGATCCATTAAATGTTAAAATTGGCAACTCAAGCTCCTTTCCATCTCCTCCCTCAGCTCCCACACTTTACAGATGGGGAAATGAAGGTCCAGACAGGAATACAGATTTGCCCAAAGCCAGAAGGCCAGGATAATTTCTCTAGCCTACTGACACCCTGTCATCCGTCCTTTACTGAGCTGGACAATTTGTGTAACACAATGTACAAGTTAGTCATGTGACTTAAATACGTATATGACTCTACGGCAACTCTTACACAGTAATTCTGGACCCAGGCAATACTATCATCTGAGTCATCTGAAATATAAAATGTACTGTGTCAAGTCAGTTATTAAGAACCTCTGCTTTAGAAAAATCCCATCTCAAGATGACATACTGCACTACAGATACACACTCTAAAAGTTCAAGTTTAAAAGGCAAATTTTGATACAAACTTCACCTTGACCACAACTGCTGTCATTACTATCGGCTCACTATGGTACTGTACTTGATTGATGGATATTTGGACTGTTACCAAGGCGCAGATAAAACTTTCCTACTGCACAATATTCACTTTCTTACTGAAAATGTCAAGAAAATCCCTACCTGGACCAAACACAGGCAATTAAGCAGCATTCTCCAGCTACCAAAGTTGCTGAGTCTTAAAGACTCTGCTTGGTGCATACTAAAGCAGAGGAGAGACATTATTTTAGAGAAAAAATTCTTGCATCAGCCAATTCTTTACAGAAACTACTTTATCCAGATCAATACTTCTCCTTACCCCATATACCTTTCTGTATTGGTATGGCACTTTATAATTTATAAGTATTATGCTGATGTCTAAAGCACAGCTCTGATTTCATCTCAAGATGCATCCTCGCGGGTAACAGCCAACGCAGTTGGGCTCTGCAACATTTCTTAGTGTTTTGAATCTGTTGTAAAGTAGGGAAACCATTATCGATGGCTTGAGGTACTCTTTTTACAAACACATTTCTCCCTGTAATCACGATAGGGCAGGGAATTTATAGGAATTTTTCCTTGGCTCCACACACCCAGGTTCTCTGCATTTGAATGATTACAGGAATTCTTACTTGGTCTAGTAAATAGGCTAGAACTACGTGGGAACTGATTTCTTTTCCAGACATCTCCAGGGGAACTGCCCAAGAATGAACTATCGTGTCTTAAGCATAACCGCTTAACCCATACAATTACCAGATTGCGGGAAATGCAAAATTTTCCTCAGCTAAACAACGGATAATAATATCTAACCTGATGCAATAACCAGGTCTCAAGGAAAAAGGACAGTCCGTCTGCTTCGGGCTGACCTCCCAGAGGAGCGGGACGAGGGTGGGGGTGCGGGCCCCGGCGAAAGCTGAGCCCGCAGGAGGGCAGAGGTCTGCCGCCCGCGGCCCTGCTCCCCGCGCCGCTCCCTCGGAGCCTCGGAGCCGCGCTTCCCCGCCGGGGGCATGGGACCAGAGGAGCAGGGAGGTGAGGCGGCGGCCCCGGCCTCTCCTGGGGCACGGAGAAAGCAAAACGCGAGGGTCGCGCCTGGTGCTTCGGTTCAGAGGGTACCGGCGGTTACCGGGGGACCAGGACGAGGTCCCAATACGAGGCACTCGCAGCCACTAACGCAGGGTCCGCGGGGTCAGGCTGTGGG